CAAATCACGACTCACTCGGGAAAGCCTCGCTAGCCCCAGCCAGCAGCAGCTTCAATAACACACCGTTTCACTCAATAGGACAATCACGATTCACTCGGGCTAGACTCGCCGGCACCTTCGCTTGCCAAAGGCACGAAAACCGCAACTTTCCTCTCAATAAGCTTCGCTGAAGCCTGTGGCGGCGGGGGGGCGGTATGTCACCCCTCCCCATAAGAACCCTCTGATCATACCCCCGGCGCTAAATCCTAGAATCTTAGAGTTCCCAAAGCGCTAAAGCCTAAACCCCCGAGCCGAAAGCCCGGACAACACAATCGTTGTGTTCCCCTGGTCTTGGACCACAGCAATAAGCCCCGACATGCGTTTGAACGGCTCGAGGGGTGCTGGAAGCAAGGGGGGGCGTTTCAAACCCGACTTAACCTTAAAGTTTACAAACCCTAAACCCAAACCCAAAAGGCACCACCTGCCGGCCAGCCGTTGTTGGCAACGGGCCCACCCTGAAAAGAAGACCATGTTTCAGCCCTGGCGGGCAGGTTTATTAACCTCAAGCTCCCCAAACCTTGAACCCTGAACCCCAAGCCTTAAACTCCTAAACTCCACACGCAATCCCCCTGCACTCTTAGCAAGCCCAAAAAGCTTTACCCATACCCTAAACCGCAAAGCCCTCAGTCCAATCTAAACCCCCTCAAGCCGTAACCCCTAAACCCTATACCCTACGCCCGATACCAGAAACCCTATACCCTAAACCCTATACCCTAAACCCTAAAGGTCTTGCCGCGGAACCTTGATCCTCAATGGGATGAGATGTTCGAGCTACCAGTGGCCAGACCAGGCATTCGGCTTCAGGGTTTGGAGTTTCGGGTTTAGGGGTTAGGGGTTAGGGTTTTAGCTTGAGGGTTTTGGGGTAGGGTTAGGCCGCGCATTCGGTTAGGATTTAAAGTAATTGGCTTTCGGGTTTTAGGTTTTAGGTGTGGGGTTTGAGGCCTTGAAGTCAGTGAGTTTACGTTTTGGGTTCAGGGTTTAGGGTGTATGGCTTTAGCAGGCTCGGGGTTCCGGTTGTTGTGTTGAGCTTTAGGTTTCCAGGTTTAGGGTCGTAACAACATTTCTAAAAGCTCACGAAAGCCACTCAATCAGAAGGCCTAATTACCTACTTT